GTATCTTTGGCTATGTGTATTTTCACCAAAAAGAAAAAGAGGTTGAGAAGTTAGAGGGATGATATGTTGTGGAGTTGTTAACCAATGTTATAAAACAACATGTGCACTTCTGTTTCATGAGAAACTATTTGTTCTGTAAGCCTTCACCTGAAGTACAATAAAAAAAAAATTGTTCAAAGACACACCCCCAAAAATAGTACAATAAAAAATAATAATAATTTTAAAAAAGATCAACAGCCCAAGTCTGATTCCTATGAGGCGGAGGTCAGACATGCCTCCTCTCTCCACCATCTTTCCCAGTTCTGACACCATCTGTCCTTCCCACAGCACTCTGTACTTCTCTGCTGGGTTTGATAATTCATTGCAATGGCCACACAGAACTCACAGACAATACTCATGATTACGGGGTTTATTAGAGAAGTAACAGTTACAGTTCAGGCTCAGGAACACTCAGGGTACAGTTCTTCCATCAGGACATTCTCTTCCCAGCTGTGTTCGCAAGCATGCCTCTCCCTGGCCCTCTGTCTCTGCCCAAAGACACTCAGCTTTCTCACTCTGTGGGCTGGGAAGCCCACTGCTCGGTCTCCCCTGCCACTGCTTCTTACTGTCTTCAGGGTTACAGAGCTTGCTTGCTCTCTCTCTCTCTCGGTCTGGTTCCAGGAGCTTCTCAGCGCAGGGATCCCAGGTCCAAAGGACACGCTCTCTGCCCCACCGCTGGCATGGCTCACCTCAAACCCAGACGGATGGCAAAACTGACCAATCCCTTCGGTGGGCCACCACTACCCTATTAACATAGCCCCACCCAATCACTTGGGTGGGAGTTACAAGACCATGGATAGAATGGCCAAAAAATGTGATCCATTGCACCACAGTTTCCTTTCCCCAAAAGTATGGCGTTTTCTCTTCTGGTGCACCAGAACTGGAAAGGACCATGGGGACATTTGGGCTCCTCTGTGAGGCCTCTAGATGTGCTGGACTCTAAGAGCTCCTCATAGGTTTCTGGGAACCTAAGGGTGTCACAGTTCTCTGCCCTGGGCCACAGTTCTGTAACTCTCAGCTGGACACCATGTACCTTGAGAGCCCTGAGGCTTTCATTGGCCCTTTTTTGTGTCTCAGGTCAACTCACACCGAGAATGTTGAGTTAATATTAACACTGCTTGTTCCACAGACAAAGCTGAGGACGCTGGGAAAAATAAGGAGACTTTGAGGCCAAAGAAGTAGGAGATGCTCCTCTATTTCATTCTTAACATTTTAGAGGTGGAGAAACAGCCTAGAGGGGATGATACAAGTGTTGGAGCCCCTGCCCAGAGCCTACCTCTCCCCTCCACACCTGGCCTAGATGGAGGTGGGAGGAGTTGATACCAAAATAGGGTACAAGGGCCATATTGTGGGGGGCTTTGTGGTCCATATTAGGGAATTGGACTTTATCCTGAAGAAAAGAGGAGAGGGGGACTTGGTCGGATTTGGGTTAGAAAGATGACTCTGACCCAGATAAAGGAATGAATGAGGTGGGGGTGCAAGGAGCAAGACTGAGGCAAGAAAGCCAGGTGGGTAATCCAAGTAATAGAGGAAGGAGCCTATGCCAGGGCCGTGACTGTGAGGAAGGATGTGAGCTGAAAGATCTGAGATTTAAGAGGTTGAATTGGCATGGCTTGGGGACTGAGTGAGTACACTTTGTGGGTGAGGGAGAGGAAGGTGACAGGACAGACTTCCAGGTTTATGGTGAGGTCATTTGCTCACCGAGGGAGCAGGAGAAAGACTGATGGTTTTTGGGCATGGCAGTTGAGATGTCAACCGGGCAGCCCTGGAGTGCTGAGGAGAGCTCTAGGCTGGCCAGAATGGGGTGTGTGTCATGGTGCACAGGAGGCAAGTGGGTGTCCGGGGGGTTCTCTGAGGAGGAGCAGGTCGGCAAGTGCAGGCCCCTCTTGCCTCTGTTCTCTGCTTTGCTCTGAACTCCTGAAGTTCTGGAAGGCTCTCACCTGCTCTACTACCCTCAGGGCCTTCATCTGTGCTGCTCCCTCTGCCTGACTGCTCCCCACACACACACTCACACTCAGCCTTCTGACCCCTACTCATCTCTCAGCTCTCAGCTTAAAGGTCAATTCTTCCTCCAGGAAGTAACTGCTGACCTTCTACACTAGGGTCTTCCTCTGCCTGTTATGTTGCTGTGAGCTGCTGTGTAGTCGGCCCCTGACTCATGGCAACCCATACACCATGGAACTGAATGCTGCCTGGTCCTGCACCATCCCCATGATAGGTTTCCCATTGGACCACTGTGATCCACAGAATTTTCACTGACTGATTTGTGAGATTAGATCACCAGACCTTTTTTCCTATTCTATCTTAGCCTGGAAGCTCATTGAAACCTGTTCAGCATCAGAGCAACGTATAAGCCTCCACTGACAGGTGGGTGGTGGCTGTGCATGTGGTACACTGGCCAGGAATCGAACCCTGGTCTCCCACATGAAAGGCAAGAATTCTACCACTGAACCACCACTGTCCTGCCCCTGCCCATTTTATACCCCCTTAACTCCTGCTCCCTTTTCTCCATATTCTCACCACAAATAATTATTTGTTAATGTCTGCCCTCTCCGCTAGAGTGTAGGTTCTCTTTGAGGACGGGGCTGGGTCTGCACTGGTCCCTGGAATCTCAGTGTCTAATACAAAGGCCAGCATGTGCTAAATATATAACCACAAATAAATGACTACAGAGAGCCTGGATTGGGCCTTGAGCAACTTCAACATTTAAACATTGGGTGGAAGAAAGGATTGCAGAAGTGTCACCTGAGAGGTAGGAGGAAGGCCAGGAGAATATAGGGCCACAAAAACCAAGGCAGAGGATGTTCAAGAAGCAGCATGCTTGTGGTCAGCAGTGCTGATTGCTGCTGAGAAGCTGGGATGTGGATGGAAACAGGACTCTCGGTTAGTAGTTATTGTATCATTGGTCACTTTGGTGAGAACAATTTCTAATGATTGATGGTGGTGGAAGCTAGACTGGAGAAGGTTTAAGTGAAAAAAGTGACTAAAGGAGTACAGACGACTTTCAAGAAGCTTGGCTTTTCCTGGTGAAAGAACATCATACAGATAGGGCAAGAGGACGGAACATGAGTCTGATCAAGCCTCTGGATTCAGTTACCAATTTCCTGACAGAAGCATGCTGACCTCCCCTGTGAGTATGCAATCAGCAAAACCCAGAGTGCAGGAAACCCTGATCAGATGGCCCAGGTTTGTCAACAGATAAGTTTTAGAAGATAGAGAACTTGAGGATTTTAACAGACTTTTAAAAGACACATCACATTTTTTAAATTAGTACATCTAAACATTGGTGTCTAGGGATGCACACTTGGGTGATAAAATTATAAAATTACAGCAGTGATTACTATAAAAGCCAAGACAGTGATTACTTTTGGAGGATATGAGGGGCTGTGATTGAATTAGGGCACATGAGGGCTTTTCAGTGGTGGGCACAGTTCTATTTCTCGATCCAGGTGGTGGTTACAAGGGTGTTCACCTTATAATAATTCGTCAGACTCTAGAAAAAGCAGTTTGGCTATGAAGAGAAAAATATGGAGAGAGCTGTAAAACTGAAGGAGGTGTGTGTGTGTCTATCTGTCTTGTCTAACGATGGCAGAAACAGGTGGGAGCCATTGTGATGGCCATTCTTATTCTTCTCCCCTCTTTGCTCCATGGTTCACAAGCCCTTCAACTTCTTCTGTGGACTCCATTTTACAATTGGGAACACTGAGGCTTGGCGGTATCTGATGTGCCCCAAGTCACACTGCTCGTCAAGGGCAGGAGCTGCACCTACCCAGGCCTCATGCTTTCTGGCCGCAGCGAAGGAGTGAGCAGGGCCAGCTGGCTCACCCAAGGCTGCCTTCTCCCCCACAGGAATCACTGAGATTCTCATGAATAGACCGCGAGCCCGAAATGCCCTCGGGTACGTCTTTGTCAGCGAGGTGAGAGAGGGCAGGCACCAGGGTTGAAGGAGGGGGTTGCTAGGCTGGCAGGTATGTGACGGGGTCTCCCCTCCAGCTGCTGGAAGCTCTGGCCCGGCTGCGGGAGGACCGACAGGTGCGTGTCCTGCTCTTCAGAAGTGGCGTGAAGGGTGTGTTCTGTGCAGGTGGGTTCCCTCCACTACCCCACTCTCAGGTTCTGCAGAGCTGGCACCTCCTGCAGGGCCCGGGGGAGTCCCTTTAGGGGTCACACAGCTAGTAAAAGCTAGTAAAAGGCAGAACGGAATGTGAACTTGGCCTGCCTGATCCCCAGATCCTTGTAGTTCTTTCTACTATACCATGATCTGTTCTGACCCTTCATTCAACACTGAGGAAACTTAGTCCAAAGATGCCCACAAGGTCAGTGCTCAAGATGGGACTCTGTACCCCTCTGCCCACCCTCAGGATCTCAGTCCCTGTCGCCAAAGCACTCCACTGTCCCTGTGTCATTTGGATCTCACAACAGGGCAAGGACCATGAACTTCTGTTTCAAAGGTGGGAAATACCTCACCCCAGGTCCATGACATGAAGCAAGTCCATGAGAGCTGAGCTGAGAACCCAGGCAGCCTGACTCCCGCGTGGATGGTTAGGGTAGAAACAAGGATCTCTAGAGAGGCAGGAAGAGGCTGTGGGGGGATGGGAGGAGTGTGATTCTCAGGGGCTTATAAGGGGATAAGCTGTCAGGATTAGGGTGTCCAGCTCGGGGTCTGCTCCAACAGCACAAGTGAGCACACCAGCGGCCTGACCCAGCTGCCCTGGCTGAGGGCCTCACCCACCCTGGCCTCTAACTTTGGCTCCATCTCTGCCTAACCCTCCTCCATCAAGGCCACTTCATGCCCCTTGTAAGACCCATTCCTTGCTATCCCAGCTAAGTACAGGGAAGGAGGGGGGCTGCAGGAGGCCAGGGTCTGCCCCTGACTTGCTCTGGAATCCTAGGCTAGTCTCTGTTCCTCTCTGGGCCTGTTTCTGCCTCTGTCACTGAAGGGGCTGGAACAAATCAAAGACTTCCAAGTGCTCTCCCAGTTCTGACCTCCTACAGTCTAGGATTTGGAGAGTCTACACTAACCCCCTGCTCCTGCCTCAACCCCTACCATCTGGCCTTCAACAACCCCACCATGGTCACTACTCTCCCCAAGGTCCTGGCCCCCACTCCATGCTACTACGTCACAGTTCTTGTCATGCTTGACCTCTCAGCCTCCTCTCCTCAGACCCCACTGACCTCTCCCTTTTTGATCTTTCTCCCTGGCTTCCTTCACCTCTTTTTCCTGGTGATTCTCCTTCCTCTCTGGCTGCTCCTCCTCAGGTCTGTTTTGCTGGATCCTTTAACAGCCTGGGATTTGACAGCTGGTCATTTTCTCAAGGACTGTCACAGTCCCCTCACCCTCTGCAGGTGCAGACCTGAAGGAGCGGGAGCAGATGAGTGAGGCGGAGGTGGGGGTCTTTGTCCAGCGGCTCCGAGGCCTGATGAATGACATTGGTGAGGGTTACTGGGGTGGGGTGGGGGAGGGTGTTCCTGCCGATCCCAGCCCCACCCTACCCCCATCCTCCACTTTAAAGAGAGAACTTTCGTGTTGTGAATTCTCTGGGGTTACAGATGACTCTCCCAGGGAGGATGGGCAAAAGGAATTCTACAAGGGGGAGGGTGACAAGAGGGTGCAGAGGCCATTTCTCTCAGAGGCCAAGTGCTGTCTCCTCAGCCTTTGTGCGGCTGCTAGGTCTGACTCACCTGCCCTCAGGCCTCAAGGCCAGCTATTCCAGAGGAACCAAGGTTCACCAAGGTTCACCAAATACACTTTCAGACTTTGACAAAGGCTGTTCCCTTTGCCTGGAACATGCCTTCTTGGCCACCTGCAAGGTCTCCAGTGGCACCTCCTCCAGGAAGTCTTCCCTGACCCACTCTCCAAGTTTCCTTTTATCACAGCACTGATTGCTCTGGGTCATCATTGCCTATTTACAGATCTGCCTGGCCTATTATGTTGATCCCCAGGGTTGCAGGGGCCATGTCTGATTCAGTTCTATGTTCTCAGTACCCAGCACAGGGCCTGCACACAGAACAAGGGAGAAAACAGAAAAGCAGGTGCCAAGGACGCCATTAGGAGAGTGGACTTGAGCAGGGATCATTCTAGCCCATCTCCCAACTCTTGTTCCCCAGCTGATCCCCCACTTTCTCTGATAGGAATACCAACTCCTAATAACCTGGTAGAGGTACCAGGTGAGGTTCCCAAACCTGAAACCAGTGAGTCCTGTCCCAACCAGCATCCCTCTCCCCGGCCTTAAGTCCCTGACCTGGTTCTGCCAGGGTCTGGCAGGCTGAGTCCCTCTTTGTCTCCACAGCAGCCTTCCCTTCGCCCACCATTGCAGCTATGGATGGGTTTGCCTTGGGCGGGGGCCTGGAGCTTGCCCTGGCCTGCGACCTCCGAGTAGCAGGTACTACACAGGGTATGAGGTGGGATGGGGAGAGGGTGAAATAGGGTAATTCTGGAGGCTCTGCAAAGTCAGCCACTGTTCTTCCAACCAAGAGCAAAACGGGAGGCAGGGTAAGGACACAGAGGGAGCTCAGGCAGAAGCTGGTTCCCTCCTGACCCACCCACTGATTGTTACCTGTCACCTCTCAGAACCGGCTTCCCTCATCTCTGGGATGATTCTACCAATCTTAGAGTACCTGCTGACAGATGGCCAAAAGAGCAGAGAGGGAAGGCCAAGGAGGAGAAAGATCAGTTGTTCAGCCTTCCAGTTGTGTCCAAGGCCAGCTTTATCTATCATATCTTAAGCAACAGTGAGCCATTGGGTACAGTTTGTTACCAGCCTAGCTAATCACAAACATTCCTGCGCAGTATCATTGCCCTCGGGTTCATTAGTACTAGCCAAGGTTTGCATCAGGGCTTCAAGCTGGTTCTTGCCAGTGCAGTCATGGCCGACGATGCAAAACTGGAGCAGACCTGAATTTTTAAAATGTAGGGAAACCAGAATAATAACCGGAATGGGAAAAATTACCAGTTGAAGCCATGCTAGAAATGGAATCTCCCTCTTAGAAAGCAAGGGCAGCATGCACACGGCAAAGCAACCAAATCTCTTGACCAGCAGAGTCAGAAACAGCGGTGCCCCGCTCAAAGACGGTGGCCTACCATTTTGAATGTCTCTCTCCACAGTCCTGCCAATAATCCAATCTCTCGCATCAGGCTCCTAAAAAGACTTACTACACCTCTTCTGAGTCTCCCATACCAGGGCTTCGACGCATAATTTTTCTCATTCTGGTTATTGTTCCAGTTCACCCAAATTTTAAAAATTCGAGTCTGTTCCAATTTTGCTTCATGGGCCATGACTGAATCGGTTCAAACCGGTTCAAAGCCCTGGCCTGCATTATTTGTACAGTGCAATGGCCTTTGTTTGAAGAGTGGAGGGAGGAGGTGGAGAGGATAATCACATTTTAATGTGACTGACTTGGTGGTAAGGAGCACCCTTCCCAGAGGCAGTTAAAGTCTAAGTCCCTTCATGGTGCCACTCTCTTCCCCCGAGTGCCTTCTCCTGCCACCACAGGAAGGACATTTAAAAATATGCAATTCCAGGCATGGAGGTAGCTTCTATCTACACAATGCATGTCAAAGAGAAGGAATTAACCCTGTGGCCAGGCCGCAAATTACCCAGTCAGGTCACAGCCCCAACTGTGCTTCTCACCTGCCTGTGCTTCAGGCAACTAACCTGCAGGGTGTCGGTGAGGACTAAGGGAGATAGTGAGTGAAACCCCTTGTCAGCGGTAGTAATGGCTCTTCCCTTCTGCTCACATTGCATGGTTCAGATGGTCTGTGCTGAAGGAATCCAGAAAAGGAAAAAGGCCTGTGGGGCAGGACTGTTAAGGAGGCCTTCTCTGAGAAAGTAGAACTTGGAAGGACAGCGTGTACTGGAACACAGTCAGGGAAATTTCAGGCTGTGGCGAACAGCTAGGAGGGAGTAACCATGGTGGGAGCAAGCATCACTGACACTCTAGGCCAGACCAGAGCCAAGGGTGCACGTGACAGAAAATCCATTAAGCCACAGGTAGTTATAGGTACCTTCCAGGAACGCCTTCCTTGTTCCAACCACCATTATCTCCTTTGAAGCTTAGCAGCTAGCAGCCCTATGAAGCAAGCAGAGGAGAGGTTCATCTTCTTTCCACCTATGAGGCTCTGAAAAGTTAAGACTACCTAGTTAAGACTGCCTTACACACACCTCTGCCAGTAGGGGGAGATGGGGTGAGAGCCTGGGCCTCCTGAATCCCAGGCTAGGACTCTTCCCAAAGGCAGAGCCAGCTGCCAGACCAGGAGGAAAGTGGCTGGAGGGGCGGGGAGACCAGAGGTGGGTGTCTCCTCTCCCCTAGGGATTGCCCGGGAGGATGGGGTGGGCGCTTTACTCTGCTCTGTTTAAACAGCTTCTTCGGCTGTTATGGGGCTGATCGAGACCACCCGAGGGCTCCTACCAGGAGCAGGTAATCTCACCCATAGCACGGTCCCTTTCTCCTCTACCTGCCCTACTCTATCCAGCGTACTGTGTTCTGGACCCCACCCTCCCATCCTAACTCAGAATCTGCTCCTCTGAAAGTCTTGGCTGACTCCCAGGCTGGGCTTTCTCTGAGCTCCTGCTCCTCGTGCTGATTCCCGACCCCTGCTGCCCAATCCTGGCAGGAGGGACTCAGCGGCTGCCCCGCTGCCTGGGGGTGGCACTGGCAAAGGAGCTTATCTTCACTGGCCGACGACTGAACGGGGTACAGGCGCAGGCGCTGGGGCTGGTGAACCACACTGTGGCCCAAAATGAGGAGGGTGATGCGGCCTACCACCAGGCACGAGCACTGGCCCAGGAGATCCTGCCCCAGGTACGGTGGCAGCTCAGCTCGGGAGGGAGGCAGGGCCTGTGTCATGGGTGGGAGGCACATGCAGGATAGCTGATAGTGAGTTTGGGTTAAAAGAAAGCATTGTTTGTCTTCTTTTTTTGGTTTCATCATAGATAAATGGAGAGTCTGAAGCCATTACCTGGGGCAATTTTACTACTATCAGATTTATACTACACTTGTTCAGAAACGCTGAACTAATACAGTGAACTAATGCAGCTTCCACAGAGGGGACCGATCTAGCTAGACTTGGGGACTATGCGGGATTTGTCTTTTTGCATAAATTGAATAACTGGATCTTTGAGCCTGATCTAAAGATGATTCAAATTTCAGATTTTCAAATATACTGAATTCATGTATTATTCCAATACAACTACTGGTATTTCAGTTCTTGAAAGTAGATTTGTATACCAAAACACCAGCATACCCAAAACTAGTACTACAATCATTAATCCCGCAGCTGGGACCTTCTGATGCAACCTAAAAACCAAACCTTTAACGTTCAGCTGTGTTAGTGGGTGGTCAGGTTGAAGAGGGTTCCAAATGGGATGAGTGTAAAGGATGACATGGTAAAAGGTCACCATCTAGTGGACACACCACCGAAACCAGGGCGTCAAATGGTCTCCAAGCCTACTCAGCCCAGAAAGTTTTATGAATACAGTCGGCTCTCCATATTGTATCCATGGGTTCCGCATGTGTGGACTGAAAATACTGGAAAGAAAAAGACCCAAAAAGCAAAACGTGAATTTGCTGTGCGCCAAGCACTACGCTGAATTCACGTGAATGAAGTGATGTGTAGGCATACCCTACTGTAGCCTCCCACCATTTCACGGATCCTCAGTCTCTCTCCAGCACTCGTTGTTTGAGCACTGTTTGCCTCACATCTCGTTCATTCACTACTTGTGCATGCTCTTTCTGGGAAAAAATGGCTCCTAAAAAGCAATTAAGTGGTCACAGCAATCCCTCAAAGGCTAAGTGTGAGGGGTTGAGAAGAGCGAGAGAAGGAGTTTAAGGCTAGTAAGGGATGGCTGGCTAGCTATGTAAAGCGCTGCAGCCTCAAGAACTGAAAGATCATGGGAGAATCGGCATCAGCTGATGTGAGGCAGCATCCATGTTCCTAGAAGAGCTCAAGAAACTCATACAAGAGAAAGGCTAACTTCCACAGCAAGTCTTCTATTGTGATGAAACAACTATTTACATAGCATCTATATTGTATTAGGTATTACAAGCAATCTAGAGATGCAGCGCTGGAAGTGCTGACTCTGCTATGTCAAGAAATTTGGAAGACCGCTGTCTGGCCGACCAACTGGAAGAGATTCATATTTATGACGATTCCCAAGAAAGGTGATCCAACTGAATGCATACATTATTGAACAATACCATTAATATCACCCACAAGTAAAATTTTGCTGAAGATCATTCAAAAGCAGCTGCAGCAGCATATCAACAGGGAACTGCCAGAAATTCAAGGCTGGATTCAGAAGAGGACATAGAACCAGGGATATCATTGCTGATGTCAGATGGATCCTGGCTGAAAGCAGAGAATATCAGGAAGATGTTTATCTGTTTTATTGACTGTGGAAAGGCATTCGACTGTGTGGATCATAAAAAATTATGGATAACATTTCAAAGAATGGGAATTCCAGAACATTTAATTGTGCTCATAAGGAACCTGTACATAGATCAGGAGGCAGTTGTTCGAACAGAACAAGGGGATACTACATGGTTTAAAGTCAGGAAAGGTGTGCGTCCGGGTTGTATCCTTTCACCATGCCTACTCAATCTGTATACTGAGCAAATAATCCAAGAAGCTGGACTACATAAAGAAGAATGGGGTATCAAGATTGGAGGAAGACTCATTAACAACCTGGGATATGCAGATGACACAACCTTGCTTGCTGAAAGTGAAGAGGACTTGAAGCACTTACTGATGAAGATCAAAGACCACAGCCTTCAGTA